AAACGACCGGTCGCAAATACCCAGCGACCGGTCGCTTCCTCCTTCACTTGCATACTTAATGTGAGCCATTTTTCCAACAGATCAACCTTGTAATCAAGATACTTCTCAACCGAGACACCATTTTCATAAGTAGTGTAGGTAACGCTAAGATTTTTTGATCCAGAATCGTAACGAATCGAAGCATTATTGTCTCGTCCCTCCATAATGCCACCATTCCACGGACTGGTAGCATTAGACTTGACAGAGTTGACATGTCCCTCCATAATGCCACCATTCCACGGACTGGTATCATTAGACTTGACAGAGTTGACATCAATACCAACATGATCGCCGGCGGGATCTTGGATATACGTCTCTGTATTCTGAAAGATGTCAAACTCCACTGCCACAAACGGGTACTGATTCGTCAACTCGTTTTTTTCTGTGTGTATGATGGGGAGGCCAAGAGCGCCGCCTCTGCCTATTGTTGTGTTGAGTGCAGACTCGTTTGGTGCCAAAAAGAAGGCGAGCCCGTCTGCATAGGGTGTTTTATTTTGCGAGTTGATGGTGAATGTGAAAGTTGTGGTGAAATCAGCGAGTTTTCCCGTGGCGTTGTCGCGTAGGAGGAAGGGTTGGCTGTAGGTGGCTTGGCCGGCGCTTTGGTTTTTTTGGTCGTCAACAGCGCTATTGGTGAGTCGGAGGAATTTGCCGTCGACGGAAGCATTTCCCTCGAGAGATAGGGTGTTGATGATGCTATTTGGGAAGGTGGGGAAACTGAAGTTTAATGAGGTTGCACAAGGGGCTAAGTGAAACAAGAGAAGAAGAAGAAGGACAACCATTTCTAATTTGCTGGTAAGGTCACAGATCAAATTGTTGGGTTTAAAATAGAGCAGAGACTTTAATATTTGAAAATGCTTTAATCAGCAGTTGTTTGCTTACCAATTCAAATCAAAATAATTTTTACTTGGACTTTGATGACGCCAGGGGAAAATTAGCAATTGACTTTCTAGCTTGACATGTATTTATTTAATTACTTATTTCTTTGTGCTGATGCAGGATTGCCATCCTGGTATAAAAAGTTTATCGTGATCCAACTTCAAGCCATTTAGTTGTTTTCCCTTGGGCAAAATAGGCAGACACTGCTATAGTTACTACAAGCCAGCATCTGTTCTGTTCCTACAAATTAATCTCGTGTGTGTTCTCTCTCCACCAAAAAAGGAAAAAAAAAAACTCATGTTTTCAGTGCATAAAGATTAAAGAAAGATCATGGTCTAAATTTTCTTGTTTATTGCTTTGTGCCTTTTGTGTGGTATTTGGTAATCCACCGGGACAAATACTTTTTAGTTCCCACGAAACATGCGTTATACTCTCAGCCCCCCAAATAGTTTGTTTTGCGGGAACTAAAAAGTCTTTGTCCTGGTGGATTAAGAAGAGAAGGAGAAGAAGGACGACCATTTCTAATTTGAAGAAGAAGGACAACCATATCTAATCAGCAATTGTTTGCTTACCAATTCAAAATTAAAGAAAGATCATGGTCTAAATTTTCTTGTGTCTTATTGCTTTGTACCTTTTTCGTGGTATATTGGGTCTGACACACGTTTTGTGGGAGCGAAAAAGTTAGAATTCAGATTCAAAGTTCAAAGTTCAAAGTTCGGGTTTTCAGTAAATTCATAGTCGTTGCATTGGTCATGATTAATGATCCGACCCGATTCAGAAGTTCTAGATGATGTTTATAGTTACAAAATACAAAGGAGAGAAGCTTCCAATCCAACTTGAATTTCTGGATTAAGAAAAAAAAAAAAAAAAAAAA